TTTTTTGTATATATACTAGTTTTATGATACGCGCATGTTTAAATCGATATAAAAATAATATGCTTTCATTATAAAATTAATTTTTTGAATATATAAGTTACTTAAAATAATAAATATTGATCATATTTAGCTTGCTCAATAAATGAGAAATATGACTTTGAGTTTTGGTGTTTCCGCCGGCTATCGAAGTGATCTAATTGATTTTTTTTGAACTCTTAATATTTATTTCAACAATTTATTTAACCTTTAAATTTTATAATTTTAAAGTTTTAGTATTTTTATGCTAATTATGTTTTAATTATATGGTAGGAACTCAAATAAGCGCCTACATCAAGTGTACCATACGAGATTCTTTAATTATGTTTCCAAATATTACATATTTTTCCTATATATTTCAAATATGGAAAAATTTAGTAATTAAAATATTAGTTGTTTTTTATTTTCAATATCCTAAATATTATGAAAAAATTATTAAATGACTATTATGTCTAGTGTAAACTTTATTTTTAAAGGGTAAAAAAGGCGAACAACATTTCACTAAGGCCTTCGTGCTTTTAATATAGTATGTATATATATATATATATTTCTGTATGTAATATATAAAATTAATATACTTTTACGGTATCAAATATAAACAGTTTCAATTGCCGGCTAAAAGTGATCAAGTGATCTTTGCCTTTTTTTGGGGGGGAACTGACACGGTTGGTAATTCTTTTTGGGAGGCAGGTTTGGGATAAGTAGAAGTTTGTAGTCAGATAATTTTTGATAGGTTTCTTGCTTTTCTACTAGTCAGTAAGCTTGTACTTGTATTGGTCAAAAATTACCTTTGGCATGATCAAATCATGTTAACATCAAAGAGGCATTCGCGGATTGCCACGTGTCGCCAGTACGATTTTGAAAAAGGTATGCCTGACATCGAACCGATCTCTTAAGAAGTGAAGGGAAGAGCCGGTGAAGTTATTGAAAACCAAGGTCGAAGAGTCAACAAAGATCGAGATCGAAGAGTCAGCGAAGATTAGGGCCGAGGTTGAGCACTCACCGTAAATAAAGTGAATAATGGCTAATTTTAGAGTAAGACATCAGATGAGACTATTCTAGTGGTTATTCTCTGTACCTGTACTATTAGGGTATTCTAGATATATGTTCCCTATAAATAGAAAGAGACACAAGAAGAGGAGGGAAGAGATATTGACTTGTAAGAAAACACATTGACTTTATAGAGAGAATCTTGCTTTATTGCAAGCAAACAAGAAATACTTTTTTACTAGGATTCTTACATAACTTTTCCACTTGATCCAAAAACAACTTGAATATTCGAAAGCTCATCAATCATTCATCACTTTCAGAAGGAATATCCACAGATCTCACCCTTTTTCGGGTGACTCACATGTTTTTATTTACTTAAATGTCATTCATTGCTAGTTATTATTATTTAATGTTATCATCCTCCTTTTGAGTCATTGAATATTGTTAGTGTTGTCCACATTTATTGCCATATAGTCAAACATACGTATTATCTACTACAAAATCGGTTACATATTTTTTGGATATTAATATTGGCTGAGATCGACTGTACGTTATTTAAATCTAATTGATTGAATCGAATCTAAATTTTGGGTCAAACAGTACTATGAAATTTTGTTGAAGTTCGTAACACACAACTATTGACTTACTAGTCATTTATGTTCATGTTAAGATTTTTGGATATAATTTACCATTGTTGAAAGGATTATCTTGGTGAAGTTTTTAGATGCCGTACGGACTATGAAGTGGAAATCTTCTTAACTTGTGTAATAAGAATATTTATTTTGGGAAAAGCCAAAAGATGATAAGCAACTAGAGACTTGGCGTTTTGGAATAGAATATATTGATTGATGGCTTGCCTTGAGTTATCCCTGACGCATCTAGTAGAATAGTTTGTTATTTATATTTTCTTTCTTTATACTTCCACACATTTTTGGTCCCTAAACTGGAAAAAATAACTTTTTCTGGTTTATTGTTTAAACAATTTATAAAATGGGAACAAACAAATGTAAAAATGTTTTTTTTTTTTGAATAATGAATTAGGTTATAATCCATTTAGTGAAATTTTTGACTAATGTAAACTTTTGACAGGGTGGATTATTATTATTTTACTTGTTTTGATCCATTTAAGTTTACTTCAATTCGTTCATTTGACAATAGTAGATTATTGCAGTAGTTGATCGATGGATTGAGAGCCAATAATTTAGTAGCTTACCCTTCAATTTTCCAACCAATAATTTGCAAGTAGAGACAAATTCTGAATTTAAAGTTAATAAATTCAGAATGAATATGATGTTATTAAACATATAATTTCGTGTTGTTTTGAACATGTATGCATTATTTGAGGAGAACCTAATCTAATGAATTTAACTAAAACTATATAACTCGTTTTAAATCCGTCTGTGTCTAGGAAGTAGTTTGCTTTTGAAGCCGTCTAGCTTTAGCATCTTATCCTTATAATTAAAGGTGGTAATCGGGTTTGGCCGGCCCACTAATAGCCCGGTTTAGTCCGGTCCAATAAGAGATGGGACAGGTTGGCTAGGGCAAGGGTTGTTCCAGACGGAGTCAGTCCTTTTTTGGCTATCGATGCACCGGAATCCGGCTAGCCCGGTAATCTGATCACGGAATTTGCAGATGTGCCCTATATTTGTGCCATCCGTAATAATATGACAATTACACCCATGACAAAAGATATAAAACCTGCATCACGCATTAATCGCGTGATCTGCAACCTCATTCGTGAAAAAAGATCTCCTCCTCTCCTCTCAGCAGCTTTATCAAAAAACCAGAAACTTGTCCAGATTCATCTTTAGAATCACACTTGCATGAAGTTGTTTCACGTTTGTAACGACCGACCGGTCGTTTTGAGCAGTTGCACTTCGCTCGATTGTTTGAGGGAATGAGTAGCTCCGTATGATGTATTGTGACTTATGTGAATCGTCGGTTTTGATTTTCAGGTTATTCGGAATTGATTTGGAAGAATGATTCTCAGCTAAAAGTTTTAAATTTGAAAGGTTGGACCAAGTTCGACTTTTTAGTATTTGACCTCGAATTGGATTTCTGATGGTTCCGTTAGCTCTGTTGGGTGATTTTAGACTTAGGAGCGCGTCCGAATTGTGATTTGGAGGTCCGCAGTAGAATTTGGCTTGAAATGGTGAAAGTTAAAATTTTAAAAAGTTTGACCGGGAGTGGACTTTTTGATATCTGGACTGGATTCTGATTTTGGAAGTTAGAGCAGGTCCGTAATGTCAAATGTGACTTGTGTGCAAAAATTGAGGTCAATCGGACGTGATTTGATAGGTTTCGGCATCAGTAGTGAAAGTTTGAAGTTTCAAGTTCATTGATTTCGAATTGAGGTGTGATTCATCGTTTTGATGTTGTTATGTCTGTTCAGAGGCCTCGTGTAGGTCCGTGTTGTGTTATGAGACTTGTTGGTATATTTAGACGGGGTCCTGAGCGGCTCGGGTGAGTTTCAGACGAGGTTCAGATCATTTTCATTCCATGTGGAATTGCTGAAGATTTTCTGGTTCTTGTATGACCGCACCTGCGGAGTGTTGGGCGCAGGTGCTGAGCCGCAAAAGTGGCAGTGTCATTGCAGAAGCGAGAAAGGAAGCTTGGCGTGAGGATCACAGGTACGGGTGCTTGGACGCACCTGCGCAACCGCAGATGCGGTTCAAGTGTGCAGAAGCACGATCGCAGAAGCGACTTAAGGACCACAAGTGAGAGGTATTGCTAAGTTAGGCTGTTTCACAGAAACGACGATTTACCACAGAAGCGGTGGTCGCAGATGTGACAATTTGTCCGCAAATGCGGGATCGCTGGGCAGAATGTTATAAGTTCGAGGGTTGGTCATTTTTATCACATATTGATCCATGGACTTCTGAATGGAGCGATTTTTGGAGCAAATTTCATCACAAGGATTGTGGTAAGTGTTCTCTACTCGATTTTGGTTATATTCCATGAATCTACCTTCAATTTTAGTTTTTGGTTGATGAGTTTTAAAGAGGAAATTGGGGGTTTTGGCTTAACGTTTCATAATATGATTTTTTGAGTTTTGAACACCGATTTGGAGTCGGATTTGAGTGAAAGTAGTATGGTTGAACTCGCAATTGAATGAGTTGTCGGATTTTGTGAGTTTTGTCAGGCTTCGAGGCGTGGTCCAGGGTGTGATTTTTGGCCGGTTTTGGGTTTTGATTAAGGATTCGATCTTTATCATTTGGAATTGTTTTCTTGGGCTTTATTTGATGTATTTGGTTGCTTTTAGCTAGTTTTGAGCCGTTCAGAGGTCGCTACACGAGTGATGGCATTTTTGGAGTATCGCTTGGCTTGCTCGGTATTGAAATTGACTTGTTCGAAGTAAGTAA